GCGCTCGCTCCCAAGAGGCTCGTTTTCGCGGAGGACTGCACCTTGAAGCCAGCGTTTGCTAAACCCATCCATTGTACTTACTGAAGGGATGATAGAATGGAAAGAAAAACAAGCAATTTTTTACAGAGCTTAACTCGCTCGTTATTGAAATCACGCGTTGTGGCTTTTCTTTGGTTTGTATGGAATTTTGTTGGCCAACCGCTAGCTCACAATCAAGCTTCTCTCCTCTCGACAAAAGGTGGTAAATTTCGAACCGACTGTAAGTCTTAGAGGAGAAAACAGAAAACGCCTACGTTACATGGGCCTCAAGCATTCTGTCCGATAGCCCAGTTTCTCGAGAAGAACCGTACTTAAAATTGCCCATAGCCCGCCCTATCCCAAGTTTCCAAACAAAGAGAAGGGAAGAAAAATGAAGAGCGACGAACGCGCCCACGGTAAATTGGCTACGTGCAACAGGGAGATGTCGTACAGCCCAAACATGGCTGGTCATTATTGTTTTCGTTTTTCCCTGGAGTACCGACGCCTCCGAGGGGACCTGATTCTTACTTATACCTGTTTGAACAAAATCTTGGCAAACAGGTTTTGCACCGTCGACCCGGCAAACACGCGGCGAGGACATAGCAAGAAAATTTTCAAGTTCAGAGCGCACACATTCATTAGACAAAATTTTTTATCATTTCGGGAAGTGGCTGCGTGGAATGACCTTCCCCCGTCGGTTGTCCACGCTCCTTCTAGAGCCCAGTTTAAAGCACTATTAGACACTCATTTATGCTAGTCTTCGCGCTGGCAAGCATACTGCCCCACGTTGAGAACATAAAGAGCTACACCTTTTTTCACTTGTGCCTTTCAGGTGAACGACAGCCGCTGAACGACAAGAATGAAACCGAACCGGGAAACTTGGGCAGAGCCTCGATCCTGTGTATCAATCCGTGAATCGGTGGATCACATATCTCCAACAATACCAGGTGCTTCACGGCTTTAGCCTGGTAAAACACCGGCTCCTCAAATGTAGGTGGGTACGTTTGTGGTCTCTGGTATCTTTCATTTGTTTCCATTATAACGATAAGTAATTCACCGACCGCATAAACTTGTATTGTTTGAAAGCAAAAAACAACAAAAACGCGCTTCTGTGCAATTTACGCGCAACACAAACGTGATAACGTGTTTTCGACTTTTATTTCTTTACCACACACTTCTGGTGGTGTAACTGTTGCGGTAGCAAGACCCCTGCCGGATAAATAACAACGGCCAGTGGCTGGCTCAGGCGCGACCTTTCTGTGTATAGAGACTGGCGCCGTTTGTAAAGGATGCACATGTAACGCAGTTGAAACTCGACCGTATCTGCTTGCACGTCTATATGACGTTATGTGCGCCTTTCCCTCTCTCACTCTCTCCCTATTGCAGGTACAACGGACGAGCCACCACGATCCCCGGAGAGGGGAACGGACGAGCCACCACGAGCCCCGGAGAGGGAGGAGTAGCCCGCTTCTACATCCCCATGATTAACCTTGATCCATCTTTGTACACTTGACTTCTGGTTTCAGTTTCGGTTTAATGCACGTATGTTGTGGCCACGCTTCGGTCTTCTTCCGTTTGTCACCCGAGCTGTGCGAGTGTGTGCTGTGTGTGCCTTGTGGATTCAATAATACCAATATCAATATCTGCACATTCCAGAACCGACGTGTGTCGTCGCTACATCCCCCTGAACATCGAATACAGCTGACTTCCTGACGTTCCACGCTACACAGAAGTGTGCATAAAGATTAAAAGCAATATGAACTACATATATATATATATATATAGTGAGTGGACCAGAGATTTCTACGCTGGTCTGAGAACTGCACTTACATCAACTCATGCCGAACGCTCCATGCCCATCGTCGTGTTCTGAAAATCTCCTTGGCTTGGTGCTGAAAAATTCAGGCGCGAGTGACTTGTATTTGCGGCCTCCTCTGGGCAACGACAAACAAACTAATGGTGTCTGTTTTAAATGGCGAAAAGGTATACAATTCACGACAACGATGCCAAACTTCTGGAAACCCCCTTGTGACGAATGGGGCTGCAAATCGGATGTCTTGAGAGCCAAAATCATTGTAAGTCCGAGAGACATCAGGTTCTTTAACGATACATTTAATCCTGCCTCAAATGAAAAAGCCTGCTAAATCAGGTTATACGATAAATTCCGTTGAATCAGCTTCATGGCGTAGTCCTTAAATAGAATCAAATTGGACGCTGAGTAGTCCTCCGAAGACATTCTCATATTCACGCCCTCGTAATTTGCTGGACAATGGCATACTCATGACTTCCGCTCCACGCGTCGGGGTTGTCATGTGATGGGACAAAAGGGCGAGTTTCGCAGGTTACTGTCTATTTTCAGGAGATTTTGTCAAAATCCATCAGTAATCAGCGGTGTTCTTTCACTTGCAGCGACATTACAGAGAAAGGTATGCACCATCGTTTGCGCCTTCTGAGCCCGCAGAAGCATACAGATCAGGGCAAAACACACGGCCATGGTAGTCTGCCTCCCCCATTAAGGAAAGAGCTATCTGATGTCACCGTAAGATATTGTGTTGCCAGCTCTCTGTCCATGTCTCCGTTACTCCCCTACATTTGGAACACCGCGATATTCAGAACAAGTAGCGAAAAAGATTTCCTGGTTTGTCCACCGCTCAGTTTGACCTTCTTGATTGGTAAGTTCGTGAAAAACGTTTGGCTTGACGTGTACAAAAGAACTCACTTATTAATGAAGTTTTGCATAACGACAGGCATGGTCCTGGGCTGAATTTTTCTTATTGAACTAATTCCGCAACCCTGCGTATCAGTAAAATCGCCTCTCATCTTTAATGTCTGCCTTCGAAATTAAAGGCTCAGATGAACCGCCCATTTTATTTTTCGTATGGTTGAGCTATATGTCGGTTCGGCAAGGACATTTGTATTTTCCCTGCTGTGCAAATCGTTTTTACAGCTTCTCTTATCCTGTTTTTGCACTAAAGCTTTGGTCAACTATATGTGTGTTTTAATGCACCCGGTTTTGATCACGCTTTGACTGTGTATCCGTGTCGGATTTGCTTGACGTATGAGGTGTCGCAAGAAATAACGACAAAATTCTTGCGACAGCAAAATACAACAGTTCCTGATAAGCTGCGAACACCTTGCGGAGGGCACTATCAAGTCTAAAAGGAAAATTAGATTCAACGCCACCTGCACGATCCAATGCAAGGACTGAGACAAGCGGTAAATAGGACAAACAGGAAGGAAGCTCTCGCCACAACTCATGAACACAAGTTCGCACCTGAAAGACACGATCAGAAGCTCTCGCCGCAACTCATGAACACAAGTTCGCGCCTGAAAGACACG